GAAATATAGTGTGTTTTATGTATTAGCATAGTTATGTTATTTTAATCTATTCATTTTTCTGATAGTTATTATAACCACATTTATTGTACTTTCAGGGGTTTGATTTAGTTTTATTGTAATAAAGTTTTGAAACGTCACCCACTGTGTGGTCATTCATTTGCCTTGACCCCCACCCGATAACATCAATATGGCTCTGTATTCTATGTTCTACAAACGACGTAGGTGTTGACCAATCAAATCCCGCTAGGCAGTTCGTATTGTCTGGAATTATGTAATATGACCATTGTTAAGCTTTACTGGGCCAATTATACGATATTAAAGAATAAAAGTTCTGTAATATAGCTGTGAAAAAAAAAAATTTGGTTGTTTGCCTTCGTCTTATGTAAGTCCTTACGATATTCTATGTAGTTCCTTATACAAGCCAGATTGGATTTAAATGACTGGGTTGAATTCTAGATTGGAGATCATGATAATGAAGTTAACGAAAACAAGCATTAGGTTTATTTTTACTGTTCACCCTGCCCTAGCCTACATATCTATACTACAGTGAGAACATTTTTTCAGTTTATCGATGTAGAAATGTAGCAATTTATACATAAGTGTACACAATTTTTTTACATTTTTTTTTATTATTATCGTCACACGTCAATACGTCAGTTCACACGTCAGACGCGTCAAAGAACTGTTATATCTCACAAGTCAGTCCGTCAGTCAAGAAAATTTACTTCTATGTGAACTCTCTTAAAACAACTGTCTTAATTGCTGATAGACTCAATCGCAAAGTGGCCACGGGTGTTCCAGAAAGGTTTTTTTAAAACATTAGCTCGAGATTTAAGCACACCTTAGCATGTACAAACTCCAGTTCGTCATTAAACAAGTTTAAGAACTGGTCTTCGTCACACGTCAATACGTCAGTTCACACGCCAGACGCGTCAAAGAGATGAAAGCACGTCAGATGCGTCAAAGAACTTTTATTCCTCGCAAGTCCGTCGGTCATTTAATCAAACTATGCGAACTCTCTTAAAATACTGCCTTTGTGACTCAATCGAACAGTGTCCCCAGGTGTTTCGGAAAGTTTAAGCATGCCTTGATACGTTTAGTTTGAGTTTTGATCACACCTCACTAGGTCAAAACTTCTATCCGTCAGTAAGCACGTCAAAGAACTGGTCTACGTCAATACGTCAGTTCACACGTCAGGCGCGTCAAAGAACTATTATATCTCACAAGTCAGTCAATCAGTCAATAAATGTTATATTTGTAACTATTTGAACTATCTTATTTAGCTTTTTTGCGGACTGATGTGTATGAAGACACTGGCACTGATGTATTGGCTCATACTAAACCTTTCAGAAACACCTGTGACAGTTTCCCCTTAAAGATGGCTTCTCTTATTTTCATTTCTAAAACCATTAGGGAGGAAATTGTAAAGAGGGAAACCACTTCATGCCTTCCGACGTATTGACGTGTGACGAAGACCGGGTCTTTGACGTGCTTACTGCCGGACTGAAGTTTTTACCTACTAAAGTGTGATCAAAATTCGACCAAAGCGTTTTGAGACGTTTCGAGGCCACTTAACGATTGAGTCTGTCAAAAATGTAGTATTTTAAGAGAGTTCACGTAGTTATGTTATCATTTATTTACTGACGGACTGATTTGTGACGCGTCTGACATATATACTGACGTATTGATGTGTGACGAAGATCAGTTTTTCGACGTGGTTACTGACGTACTAATGCTTTCACCTACTCGACCTAAACGTTTTAAGGTATTCCTTTCTGGAACACCTTAGACCACTTTGCGATTGAATCTGTCAACAATTAAGGCAGTTGTTTTGAATACATTATTTTCTTCACATGTATTACCATTGCTCAGAGGAAGTATGGCGAATAACTAATTATTGAAAAACGCTATTTTTCATCAAAATGACACTTTGTTTTTCACCCCAGAACATCACGTTTTCATATGATTTCTGCATTTGCAATGTTCTGAAGACTGAACAATTGAAACAACTGAAACTAATTTACGATCTTTTTTTGAAATAATCACTATTTTATCGATTTGTGACAGGAAACAGTGTTTAAGTCTTAAATTGGCAGTACAATTTACAATGACAACGAGAACCAAACTTGTTCATGGAAGATTTTGTTTTTAAATTTACAGGTTTGATAGTTCTTTTTAAGAACTATAAGACATATATGAAATAGGTAAAGGTAAAGAAGCACAAGATATATGGGTTTGTGTATGAGAAATAGTATATTCATATACCTTGTGCATCCTTAAAATAATCAATATCATCATGACATTCAGTTTTTTTTTTCTTTTTTACCATAAATTTACAAACATGAATATATAATAATTGTGTCAAACACACGTACACACACGTTTATATATATATTGCTGATGGCAAATAAATAAATATTCAAGGACCATGGACCAGCGGCGTAGTGGCTCCAAATTGGCTGGAGGGATAGAAATCGTTCTGGCGCTGCTGTGCCTTTGGTACAATCCGATATAAAAAAAAACATGTAAATACAGACAATAATGCAAAATTCGAAAAAGAACTTTTAACTTATACTGCGTATGGTAGCTATGATAAATTAATAAGAGCATATAGAATCAGAATATCGCTCAGTAACAACCGAAAGGCGTCTTCACTGAGCCGCCACGGCGACGGAAAATTCGCTCAGAACATGTTAAGATCGTCACATGTCTCAAGCGTGGTATAAACGTGAATAATCCCCATTGAGATCGCAGGTTTAAGCGACTGATGTAAAGTTTTTAATATTATGGGACTTTATCTAGCGCTCTCTTGTGTTTGCCGGCGCCCAAACCGGTGTAACCGAATTATTCTCGAGACCCTTCCCCCAATTGGTCAATTAGTTCATCGTAATCGAGTGGGCAGCAAATCTGCCACTCATATGTCACCGGCAGCGTCTAATCGGTTTTGCACCATGGTGAGTAAGGAAGTGGGGAAGTACTTCATAATGAAAAGTTGTATAAGGTGTCTGGAAGAGAAAGCATACACTGCCTTGCGCCACACCTGTCATAGCTGCTTAGGATGGTATTCGAGATTTAAAGTGAATAAACATAAAATTTATGAATTTTAAACTTGGCGTATAAGAGCCAGTAGATATACCTGGTGTCATAAATAACAATAAAGGATCCTAATATAATCCGATAAATCCAAAAAACTTAGTAATTATCAATAAATATGCAATAACTATTGAAAAACGCTTAATATCAAGATTAAGCGTTCTTCAATAATTATTTGGTTTTATTAATTTTCCAATTTTACAGATTTTACAGGGATTCTGTTGTAAATTTATGACACCAGGTAAGCTAACTGATGAATATATACTCATATAGACCAAAGTCATAATTCACACCTAACGCTTCCAGCTTTGGCCATAGATGTTCTGTTGTAAAACAGCAATTTCAGCAGATTTCTGTAAATCTATTGTAGCCTTCACCAGCATCCATGTGTAAATCAAAGTGATGACATTCGAAGACCTTACAGAATAGTGCTTCTAGAAACCTTTTAGAAACTAAATTTGAAATGTTCAAGTTTATCATATTATATTCATGATGTGCCAAAATCTGAAAGTTTCGACTTAACTTTTAAAGTTCGTTATGCTTTTTGGAAATTGTTAGAACACTACTGTATGGATTAAAGTAAATTAAACTTTTAATTGTAGATAAATATCTCTACTACATATTCTGAAGCGTTCAACTAATAATATCGAGTCATTATAAAGCCAACCACCAGAACTAGGCCAAACTGCTTGATTAACAATAATTAGTATTTTAACGTTTTAAGATAACCCCTTTAATCAAATTCATTTTGATCAAGAAGATTATACATAGATATAAATAGCATTATAGCATACATTAGAAATATTTTCAGGTATAATTTACGACGTTTTTGATAATGAAAATGTTTCACAAAAAAGCGGAATGCCCCAAAGTTTTTGACCAATCATACCTTAGCCTCAAAAACCGGAATTTCATATAGCTGAACCAATCAGTAATAGTAGCATAAATTCAAGTCTCAAGTCAACCCCCCGAAATGGCGTAACTGGCCCTTTAAAATTTTAATTTTAAAATGTAATCGTAGTATTCTTTTTAACCTTTTTCTCAAGATTAAGAAAATATGCATGTTTTTTTTCTCGTTTAAATCGTAATGTTTAGATTTAAACATAAAATTTTCAAACTTTGCCTCGTGAAGTTTATATTCTAGTAAACTCAACTGGTTTATAAAATTATCTTTTAACTTAATTTTAAAATCGGTTTAATTTTACTATATTTTATAATCCCAAAGTCCTCTATAACATTTTACATTCTTCTTAACTCTTCTAAATGTTTAATTATTATTTTGAATATCATTGGTATATGTGTCTGATTTTATAGCAATTATTTTAGAAAAATTCAGACCCATTTTTGCATGTCTCTTTACTATTTAACAAAAGTTCACCCTCAGATCCTCGTCTGTCTCCTTTCACCCCATTAGCTTTATATTGTTCTTGCTAGAATATTGATCATCTCTGTTTCCGTTTAGCAAATTGTTTTGTATGCATAATTCAGTATCCAGTGCAAGGTAGTGATATTTTAAAATGTCATTTGAGGCCTCCAACTTTTGGATCTCAGCTTTACAGTCATTCATTTGTAGTGAATATCTTTAATTATACTTTAATTATCAATTTAATTATTAAAAATTAAATCTAAAGTTTAATAAGAGTTTTTGAAACAGGGTCCAATTTGCCATGGACAAGCAAATAACTTAGATTTTTATTTCTCGAACTCATTGTTCACATTTTCTAATTTTTTTTTCTATCTTGCAAATTATCTCCCTTATTAACGTTGGACTAACGTGTTGATATTGATTATCAGACTATCAATTTAATTTACTGATTTACAACATGAATATTGATTTTTCTACAGATGTTACATAAGCAAAATGTATAAAAGTCCATTGCTATCATGTTGTACCTATTATTTCCTCAGCGAAATCTGCAAAATGATGTTTGTCACCGCTTTGCTTCTCAACTTGGCAATACTATCAATTAAAGGTATGATTTGATTTTGCCATTTTATTGATGGATAACCTTTTCCATGATTTTCCCCACAAATATGCAAATTTATAAACTGAAGTAGTTTGGCTAAGTTATGGACAAGAACTTTAAAACAGTGTATATATTGATTATTGAGTTTCGTTAAAATCGGAAGCAAGCTGTAACATATCTGGTTTTAGAAAGACTCTGCCTCGAGGATTCTTAGAACGTTTCTTTAAGATTGTTTTTGTTACGATTGATCTTATGCTTTTGGAATAAGATGCCTTGAGAAATAATTAAGTCGCATTAACCGCTTACGATAAATGATCCGGACGAACTATTCAATATGTTGAAGTTTTGGAATATCAATGTAGTCATTACAAAATGCATGTCAATGCAACAAAGTACCAATGTCGATTGGTAAAAATACAAACAGTATATGGAAACTCTAAAATCTGATGAAATGCCACATGAATAAAGCTAGCATTTAACACTTTGAATTTGCTATTCTTCATCAGCCACTTTGCATTAGTAAGTCATGCAATAGCGACTTTTTATTGGTGAACATACACTTTATATGGAGTGATGGCGTATTCATTTACATACGGAAAAATACGGCGGAAATGTACGGATATCTATCAGTGACAGACCAAGTTTTTTGACTGCATTTTAACACATCGACATTGGTACTTCGCAGCATTGACAATAAAGACATTTTAAAGCATTTTGTAATAAAGACATTTTAAAGCTTCGACTGATTGAACAATTGTAGCAAGGTTATACCTCAATAGTAATAAAACCATGTAACGGGTCGCTCACAAATAGTTCTGTTATTGGGGTTAACGGGACAGTTTTTCAGACATCTGCTGTTATTAAACAGAGTATAAGTTTATTTCAGTAAAATAGGTCTACGACCAAACGGTACAATAATACAAATGTTGCATGAAATCAATTATTGTTGAATTTATTTACAATAATAAGTATACCTAGAACAAAAAGTTCAGCGCCATCAGATTTTGAACTATTGTTTCGCAAATGAATTCAATTCACAATAATACTTGATAACAGAGATGTATATATTGTTACGTAATGTTGAAAACAATATGTATTCGTGAAAAAAATCAACAACAGAAAGTACATATTATATTGCCCCAAATGCAAAGTATCTGTTTTTCATCTATAATACTATAGGGATAACTATTGCTAGAAGTGACTCATCAGCCAGTACTAGAGAAGGAAATCACATTGAAAGGAAACATTACATTCCACGAAGAGTTTAAAGCAGTGTTGTATTCAAAAGCACTGTGTATGACCCGTCAGCACTAATCACAGCAGCAACCCTATCTGGCATGCTACGTATCAGTCTTTGAATGTCCTGTTGAGGAATTTGCTGCCACTCCTGATGCTATGCTGCATCCAACTCTGTTACAGTTTGCACAGGAGGGTCTCTCAACGTACGGGACGTCCCAGAATGACCCAAAGATGTTCTATTGGATTAAGATCAGGACTGCAGGCAGGTCACGGTAGCGTGGTAATGGCCTCTTGTTGCATAATCTGAGTTACCGCTCTGGCTCGATGGGGTCTGGCATTGTCATCCGTGTACACTGGCCTCGTTCGAAGAGGGTGATTGTCAAAATGCAGAATTACAACAGGAACAAGGATCAGTCACGAGGTTTAGTTTGCAACCATAGGAGATACATTCCCATAACATAACAGAACCTTCACCACTCTGATACGTTGGTTGGACATGTCTCGGTGTAAAACGGGTGTTACGTTGTCGCCAAACACGAATTCTGCCACCCGTAACATGCAGGAGCATCCTACACTCGTCAGACCAATGGATGCGGCGCCATGTTGCCATGTTCCAGTGTGCTTTATACCCTGTCGATCGAAGACGGTTCCTGACAGTTGAATAGGAAACCCTCCTGTGAGTGTTCCAATTATCGCTTAGTTTTTGGACACTAAAGAAAGGAGTGCGTCATACGACTCGAAAAAGTACTCTGTCTTGACGGACAGTTGTAACTCTCGGACGCCCAGATCTGACTTAACGTCATTGGTTAGGGAATGTTTTTGTACTATTACGTTGTCTGACAATAGCTCTGCAAGACATTCTGCTATCTCGTATCACAATTTTTCGCCATCTTTCACCTGTAGATAATATCCGCCATAATCTCCGAAAATGTATCCATGAGAGAATCAAAATTTAATAATCTGTTCGATATATGACACAATTCAGTTGCCAGGTGAAATGTTGATTTCTCACTTTCCTAGACCACACGCTTCAAACTTGTTGCATGAGACTTTCACGTGAATTTGTTAATGTTTAAATCAATGTACGGATACTTTAAGTTCATTTAGATAATTGTCTCTTATTAAAATTTATGAACCATTCTTGCAGATCTCTATCCGACAGTTTTTTATTTAATTTGATTTACAAACATATGAAATGCGAATGAATATAAAACTTGCTTTACCTTCGTTACCTAGGTAATTCTTCGAGTTTATGTAACTATCTCAGCATAATGTATACTTGTTTGGAATATCTATCTATAGGCATACATACAAGTTTACGCCAATATTTTACACATGATGTATAATATTCACTAATATTTTTTCTGCCACATTCCCCAAGGGTTCAAACGTTCATTGAACTTTTAGGAATTCCAAGCAAAAATGTTCTGGTCATTCCTTATTTATCTTAGTTTACGAAAAACAGAAAGATTACATTTGTCACAAAACGTTTCTAAAACATGAAACTTATTGATATTTTTTCTGTCCTGTCCTGTTCTGGCGTTGAAATCCACCCTTAGGATAAAATGGGTAGCCTGGATAGTTCATCTAGATCTGCTGTTATTGTTGCGCTGTGATGATAAATTGGCCCGGACAAAAAGTGACTGATTTTTCTGCAGATAACATAATTTACACTAGAACTGTGAAGAGTTCCAAGAATGGCAACGAGACATTATCTCATGGATGGCTTTGGGCGGAGCTTTTGAAACTTCTAGCCTGTTAGCTTTCAACCCCGGTCCTTTAAAGCCTACATTTTGAGAACAAGAAATTAAAACTTTCGGGTAAATAGGTCGAGTACATAATTACACTCCAGAAACGTCACCTTAAATTCTCAATTTGTATAGAAAAATATAGAAATAAGTTACTTGACTTGCAAGTTGTTTTTCTTTTTTTTTGTGTCTGGATAATCTAGACCAACGAAAATTTTAATTGTTGTTTAGGGGAAATATACATCAATAATGTGACGTTCATACCATTTTATGGCCATTGTTTGCTTTCCATTCAGAGTGGAGAGTTATATATATGTTTTCATTCATCATGGCAACCGATATCGTCTTGGTTTGGCCTAATGTCTATTTTACGGGTATCTTAAACAATGATAAATCTATTATACTAAAATCTAGCCAAAAATATCTTCAAATGCAAATCAGAAAATACAAATTTAGCTCAACAAATCTTCAAATGCAAATTATCAAACACAAAACTCAACCAACAAATGTCAAAATACAAATTAATGACAGATTTGGATTTAAGAATTCAAATCAATACACACGAATTTAGAATTAAGAATTAATTGCAATGACGAACATTGAATCTTGCAGCTTGTACTGGGCCTGAACTTATAGAAGATCCTGATGATTGTACACGATACAGAGAATGTGTTAATGGTGAATATATATCACGATCTTGTGCTCCTGATACTGGTTTCAATTCATCTATTGGAAATTGCGACAATCTCTATAATTTACCCAACTGTAATCCAGACAGTAGTAACGGTACGTTTATTTTACAGATTCATGACACGGAGCTTTAGAAACGATGGCTTCTGGGTTAAATACAACAAAGTCCAATTTGGGTAGATATTAAAAAGTAAGTTTCTTGCAGACTGTACTGAATCTGAACGCATAGAAGATCCTGATGTTAATGGTGAATATATATCAAGATCTTGTCCTCCTGGTACTGGTGTCAATGTATCTCTTGGAGATTGCGATCAGCTCTCTAATTTACCCAATTGTAATCCAGACAGCAGTAACGATAATTTAATTCTTTAGATTCATGACACGGAGATTTAGAAAAGATGACTGTTCTGGTTTTAGTAGGTCAATCTTAATCACAAAAGCCCGATATGGGTAGATATTCATAATTTTGTATGTTGCAGCTTGTACTGAACCTGGACTTGTAGGAGATCCTGATAATTGTACACGATGTGTTAATGGTGAATATATATCAAGATCCTGTGCTCCTGGTACTGGTTTCAGTCCATCTCTTGGGATTTTAAGGACTTATCGTTCCACATGATAAACGTTTTTATGGGTCTGTATTTTTCAGCTTGTACTGGACCTGGACTTGTAGAAGATCCTGATAATATTACACGATACAGAGAATGTGTTAATGGTGAATATGTGTCAAGACCATGTGCTCCTGGTACTGGTTTCAGTCAATCTCTTGGGATTTGCGACCATCTCTCTAATTTATCCAGCTGTAATCCAGACAGAAATAACAGTAAGTTTTTTTTACAGATTTATGACACGGAGCGTAGGTTCAATGTCTTCTCTGGGTTCAGTACAGCAATCGTAATCGCAAAAGCCCAAGTTCGGTAGATATTGATAATTTTATATGTTGCAGCTTGTACTGGGCCTGGACTTGTAGAAGATCCTGACAATTGTACACGATACAGAGAATGTGTTAATGGTGAATATGTGTCAAGACCATGTGCTCCTGGTACTGGTTTCAGTCAATCTCTTGGGATTTGCGACCATCTCTTTAATTTACCCAACTGTAATCCAGACAGCAATAACAGTAAGTATATTTTACAGATTTATGACACGGAGCGGAGGTTCAATGTCTTCTCTTAGTTCAGTACAGCAATCGTAATCGCTAAAGCCCAAGTTCGGTAGATATTGATAATTTTGTCTGTTGCAGCTTGTACTGGGCCTGGACTTGTAGAAGATCCTGATAATTGTACACGGTACAGAGAATGTGTTAATGGTGAATATGTGTCAAGACCATGTGCTCCTGGTACTGGTTTCAGTCAATCTCTTGGGATTTGCGACCATCTCTTTAATTTACCCAACTGTAATCCAGACAGCAATAACAGTAAGTTTATTTTACAGATTTATGACACGGAGCGGAGGTTCAATGTCTTCTCTTAGTTCAGTACAGCAATCGTAATCGCTAAAGCCCAAGTTCGGTAGATATTGATAATTTTGTCTGTTGCAGCTTGTACTGGGCCTGGACTTGTAGAAGATCCTGATAATTGTACACGATACAGAGAATGTGTTAATGGTGAATATGTGTCAAGACCATGTGCTCCTGGTACTGGTTTCAGTCAATCTCTTGGGATTTGCGACCATCTCTTTAATTTACCCGACTGTAATCCAGACAGCAATAACAGTAAGTTTATTTTACAGATTCATGACACGGAGCGGAGGTTCAATGTCTTCTCTGGGTTCAGTACAGCATTCGCAATCGCAAAAGCCCAAGTTCGGTAGATATTTATAATTTTGTATGTTAGACCTAGTCTATTTGCAGTAACTACAAGCATCTTTCTTATATAATTTGTTTCAACCTTCGAGAAGATACTTCGACCCACAGCCAGCCACACAGAGAGTTAAGGAAGACGAAGGCTGGTTCGATACAAACAGAGGCATTCATTAAGGACTTATCGTTCTACATCTTAAACGTTATTTATGGGTCTGTATTTTGCAGCTTGTACTGGACCTGGACTTGTAGAAGATCCTGATAATATTACACGATACAGAGAATGTGTTAATGGTGAATATGTGTCAAGACCATGTGCTCCTGGTACTGGTTTCAGTCAATCTCTTGGGATTTGCGACCATCTCTCTAATTTATCCAGCTGTAATCCAGACAGAAATAACAGTAAGTTTATTATACAGATTTATGACACGGAGCGGAGGTTCAATGTCTTCTCTGAATTCAGTACAGGAATCGTAATCGCAAAAGCCCAAGTTCGGTAGATATTTATAATTTCATATGTTGCAGCTTGTACTGGGCCTGGACTTGTAGAAGATCCTGATAATTGTACACGATACAGAGAATGTGTTAATGGTGAATATGTGTCAAGACCATGTGCTCCTGGTACTGGTTTCAGTCAATCTCTTGGGATTTGCGACCATCTCTTTAATTTACCCAACTGCAATCCAGACAGCAATAACAGTAAGTATATTTTACAGATTTATGACACGGAGCGGAGGTTCAATGTCTTCTCTGAGTTCAGTACAGCAATCGTAATCGCAAAAGCCTAAGTTTGGTAGATATTGATAATTTTATATGTTGCAGCTTGTACTGGGCCTGGACTTGTAGAAGATCCTGATAATTGTACACGATACAGACAATGTGTTAATGGTGAATATGTGTCAAGACCATGTGCTCCTGGTACTGGTTTCAGTCAGTCTCTTGGGATTTGCGACCATCTCTTTAATTTACCCAACTGCAATCCAGACAGCAATAACAGTAAGTATATTTTACAGATTTATGACACGGAGGGGAGGTTCAATGTCTTCTCTGAGTTCAGTACAGAAATCGTAATCGCAAAAGCCCAAGTTCGGTAGATATTGATAATTTCATATGTTGCAGCTTGTACTGGGCCTGGACTTGTAGAAGATCCTGATAATTGTACACGATACAGAGAATGTGTTAATGGTGAATATGTGTCAAGACCATGTGCTCCTGGTACTGGTTTCAGTCAATCTCTTGGGATTTGCGACCATCTCTTTAATTTACCCAACTGCAATCCAGACAGCAATAACAGTAAGTTTATTTTGCAGATTTATGACACGGGAGTTAAGAAACAAAGTCTTCTCAGGGTTTTGTACAGCTATCTTAATCGCGAAGCCCAAGTTCTGTGAATAAGAGACAGCATATTTCTTCTATTACTTACCTAAATCGCATTCAAAATTACTGAAAAGTCCCACCTTCTGACTGCGTTCCTGGATAGCTTATACTCTATGATAGATTTAGTGCATTCGATCAACTAAAGCTCCCATGAAATGTTGCTGCTGTTTGGTCGTATCTTTTTTTGCGCCATATATTAGGCTAACTAGAGACGAGCATATGTCAGACGTGCAATGAGAGCGAATTTTTCCAAGGTATTATTATCGATTATAATTGCCGATGTGTCTTTAACGTGCTCTCCTATCGAGCACGAGCCAACGCTTATCGTCCCTTTTAGCTTTATTGTAACAAACATATCTAGATGTTTCGTTTCACGTTTTTCTGTGGGTGACTCACCATCTATAATCAGACAAAATTTTCATACATATCAATCTCGGATATTGAAACTTGGATACGATTTTAGCATTCGAATATCCATTGACAATGCCTAGATGTTTACCGAAAAAGTTTACAGGTGCTAGAAACTCGCATATTTTGCCAATTTACTGATGAATGTGGCTTTAGATTGCCAAACCTTGTATCAATTAAACTCTAATTGACTAAACAACCTCATATTCACTTTTACGTACCTTTTCATAAAATCTATATTTGTGTCATAACTGTTCTATAATACTTTTTTACCTACCCATGTGTCATAGTCATCCTGAAAATTGTAATTGAAATAGATGAAATGTAATGAAATATATAGACTTTGTTACATATGTATAATAGTGTAGAAGTGACCCCTTAAAACAATATTGATGAATGTAAATAGTATTTCTATTGATTGACTGGAAAGTAGATGTTTCAATGTCACAATGTTATCCTTTTTTTATGGAAGCTGAAGAATTCTGGAACAAGTGTTTTCAAAATACACCACCCTGTAGTTATTAGAGACTTGTTAACTTATGCTGCTGTTTGTATATTTTAGAGAGACGGAAAAGGGATGTTAAGGCTCAGAGCGGCCTATACTCTAGTTTCCTTCAAAACTCACGAATCTGAAGAAGAGGAAGCTGGAATTGGAAATTGAAAAATTACAAAATGAACAATAAAATTTAACTTTTGTCCTGTGAGTTTTAAATTTTTTGGTATCTGTCTTCTCTTTGTCCATGATGCAAATGAGGCCCCAATATCGGCGTGAGCAAATATGGCCTAGCAGGATTCCGCGATCCCCTTAAAGTAAATGTAAAACAAGTTTCTAACTAAAATGCATACATTAGTCTCAATATTTGCAAGCCATAGTCAAAACCGACAGAAATCACTATGAGGCGCTTTTTCTGACAACAGCATACTAGTATCATAGAGTGTAGTGTGTAATTCAAGTTATAAGAAATAGTATCCGTCTAGAAAGTTGGCAAATTTAGTTGAAAAAAAGTTGATGTTTCAAAAAGCAAGGTTGAAGTCTTGTATTACCGTAGAGAAAATTAATGAATTTTTGTTAAAAGGGGATACCTACCAGAATATATTATTCATTGAAAACACGAGAATCGTGACAACTACCTGACCAATTGGCGACAATACTCCAAAAGCGATGGAAAGACATGTGAAATACTGAAAATAAACTTAAGAAGTTACTTGACTAGTCTATGGTCCAATCATGTATAAAGGGGTTGAAGACTAACCATTTTCACAATGAAAATCATATGATTGATTCGCAGGAATTTAATGCTGATGACGTCTTGCCCAAAAACTATGATTGCTTAGCTCCACAATTGTATGGCCGTTACCCGAAAATATACATGATCCAGTCTCGTTTGCATATGCTGGAATTTAAGAAACATATACCGGGTGTTTCGAACGACCCACGAAAAGGTAAGAGCAGTCAATAAAAATCAAATATTAAAGAATGTAATCATACTTTCTCGTTACCGTTCGAATGAACACTATCGTTTTTCTGATGCAGACTGCAATAAGAAGTTCGGAATGTTTTTATTACGTTTGATGAAACGAAACAATAAATTTCAACATGTAAATGTATAGCAATCCCACTGTGGTGAGTTTGAATGTAAGCATGCCATGTTATTTTTTTAAATTTTACTTGTGAGTAGAGATAATGTCGACTTTTTATTGTTAAATCGTAAATAGGCCTAGTCATAGATCGGTAGGTTAAAGGTTGCATACCCTATATGACCTCAATTTAAATTTCCTCGGATTTTAAGTATTGCAATATTGCAAAGAAAGTGGAGCGTCTAGAGTTTCTGCCTCTACGCTCATATTGTCAGAAAAAGCTCTAGTGGCATAGGTTAGCGATAGTATGTTTAGAACTATTCTGACTTGTGGTAAGAGTTATCGTTCCTTAACTTGATTTCCGGTCATTGAAGAAAAAATTAAATAGGCCTACGTTACCAGTATGTCGCTCCTCAACCAGTCAATTTTTCCAAGTGAGGAGAAATTTAACCTTCTGATATTGAGCGTTCCTTGCGAGAGATCAACAAGAACTACCCCATTGGAACCACACGAAACAACCAATGTCTGGGTAGATAAGGGGTCTGCTGGGGTAGAATGGATCAACAAAGATGAGTGATGACTGTAACAGCTTTTCATTATGTAGCCTAACAATTAACGCCTTTAATCTCAGATAGAATAATCAATTCTATCAAGAACAGAAACCTACCTAAAACAAGAACTGCAGGTGAAAAATTCATTGAATAGATTAAATGTTTTTATAAGAAACAATATGTTGAATTTCATTCTTTTAAAAAAATAAAACTAAAATAAGTCTTTTGAAATTTCAAAGAGAAAAGATTTTTTCCATGAGACAGTAAGTAATTTAAAAGAAAATAAAACTTACAGCTTTTTTATAGGCCTAATATATATCTGTTGTTTAATGACAGTTCTTAAATCACACGATAACGTGCAAACGGTAGGTTGGTAGGTAAAAAGTCGATACAATATAAGTAAAGGTAGCTACGTTTCGGGATTAATCCTTTTATCAAGCTAAACAAAACAAAAATAGGTCAGAAAGGTTTTGAAAGAAATGACACATTCATCTTTGATAGATGAACAAAAAAATTTTTTCAAGGGAGATAATAAACTAAAAAATTAAAGAATGGTAAAGAAATGGATGAAAGAGTAAGAGTAAACAAATTTAAAAAGAGAACTGTTCATCCCTGCAGGTGCTAAAGTTGCGTAACCTTTGTAAGGAAGTTTAGTATGTTTTATGTGAAGAAATTTCTCGTTGGCTGAGCTGAATTTTCGATAGGCCTGCGGAAATTTATTAACTGTTTGATAATTTTTACTGTTACAAAATTTGTCATGGGCCGAATTTTCCATGGGCCAAAAGGCAGCTGCCTAGTTTGTCTTTAAGTTAGAACCTCTATAATAAACATAAATTTATGGATGCTATAATACGATTATGCCAGAGTTTACTTTATGAAACAAGTTATATTATCATCTTTCCAATTCTGATTTAGCCCATAAGAAGCTTCCACATATCTATATATGTGCTTTTAACGGAAACGATATGATGCGAGTGTCATGACTGCTTACATCGTTTTGAAAAATTATGTTTTTCAAATAAAAATCATGAATTGTCATGTACCAAACATACCTTTGTTCGCATATAAATAAGGAAAAGCTACTTGGAGCCTTGCAGAACATTTTTTGGGGGGGATATTTTTTTTGTACCAGATTAAATTGCATCTTATAATTACCAATCCTGCCCTGGAAAAGCAAAATATAGTACAAGACAAAATGTTTGAATCAGTAGAGAGCACATACTCTTCATATTTCATAAACAGACATTTATCCATAGTTTATAACTGTTAATGTGGTAATGAATGTTAAGGATGAATACAAAATGACATAATTAAACGATGCCAAGCTTTCAAATTCAGTCACTGATTAACAAAAGTGTTCAATACACAAATTAACTATAATGGTCACTGTGTAGACTTAATATAGACTGTTTATTTACTCACTTTTATTCTGTCTTCAGAAATAGATAGATCCAAAGCAATAGTTGCTATCATCTCTTGGTTAGCCTTGCAACAAGAAGTCAAGCCATTTTTCCTTTGCCTCTGAAATAAGACATTTTATTGTTCTTCAAAAAACTAAATATAAAGAGCACATATTAAGGCATTGAAATATTCTTTTTCTAGTGAAAGGAGCAAGAAGGTAAATAGTCCTGCACTATTCATAACAAAAAATATTTAAAAGGAATAGTTTATTATAATTTTATGAAGGTCCTAAAGTTCAACAATACCTGAATGGACATTATTCATAATAAGCAATTCTCAGTTTCTAAACAAATAAAATGTAATGGAGTTTTATGTCCTTCTTTTCTACACCATGTAGCCCCACACCTTATACAGTAAGGTCGTTGATTGGTTAATACTTTTCCAATGCATAAAGCGTGTTGTCTTTTATTAGGTTTATAATTTGATTATATCTGCCTTGTAGAAGACACAAGACGTCTTGTGTTACTGATTAAATCAGGCTAACATTTACTAATAAATTCTGTTAGAACCAGCAAACTTTACAGGAACGAGATGGCGGAGGCGGTCAAAACACCGGAACAATATGTTCTTTGACTATCAGTCATGGATTGGGATTAGGAGTAGGGACTATGGAACTGCAGAATCGTTTATACGCAATATGACATTATGAAAGAAAGAAATGGTCGGAAGTCCTCTTACCTATAAATAATTTTGAGCTCTTACGTCTATGATTCAGATGCTTGAACAAACTTCACATTGTTGAATCTACAAAATAGATCATTTTATTTAAAATTTGAAAATATATTTTTCACAAATCATAATAACGAGTCCTTCAGCAAGTCCAAATTTCGATCTGCTATCTCTATTTATAAGCAATTTAAAGAAAAATTTCCTCCACAATCAGTCTAGGCCTTTCGTGCAATTTGCATGAAAGTTTGT